TTCTCCCAAGATAGCAGGTGCTGTTGGTGCCCCAGCTCATCTCCTTTGCCCTACCAGAGTCAGTGCACAGCAAATTTGACTCCAGCTGTGAGCATCTGCATTTCTTTGCATGATGGCTTTCTCCTGCTGTGCCTGCTTAGCTTGCACCTGCATCAAGCAAAAGGGAATTAACAGGAAATTAACACACAGATGCAGACACACACAGAAGACTCAAACAAGGCTGCTGGGAACTGGTTTATACATGCCCCTGCCCCCTTCTCCTCTGGTAGGATGGCTCAAAGTACAAGTCCTTCACGGACTCCCAGTTAGGCAGTGGCCTTAAGCTTCAATTACTCTCAGTGGTAATTTGCTTGATAATAATCCCTTATTGGCTGCCTTCCCTTCTCTTTCTCCCTCCCCTATGCTCCTACTGGTGTTTCCTGGGATCACTTCCCAAATAGAATCCTACAGTTAAAATCTTATCTAGAGTTGGAACACTCATGCCTTGCTAGTGGGGATGTAAAATGGCCCAGCTGCTTCAGAAAACAGTTTGGCAGTTTCTCAAAATGTCAAACATGGAGTCACCATATGACACAGTAATCCCATTCCTAGGTATAGACCCCAAAAGAATTGAAACCATATGTCCACACAGGTTCATAGCAGCATAACGTATAATAGAACATGAAACAACCTCAGTGACCACTAATTGATGAACGGAGAAGCAAAGTGTGGCAGATACATACAGTGGAATACTATTCAGCCAGAAACACGAAGGAAATACTGGCATATGCTGCAGCGTGGCTGGGTCTGCAAACACTGTGCTCAGTGAAAGAAGCCAGTCACGAAAGGCCACATGGTGTATGATTCCTTTCATAGTAGTTGTCCAGAAGAAGTGTTTGTCTAGACAAAGCACATTCGTGACTGCCGGTGGCGGGGGGTGGGGGTGGAGGGGTGGGGGGGGCAGGGAGAGAGCACAGCAGGGAAAGACTGCTAAGGGGTGCGGGGTTTCTTTAGGGGGTGATGAAAATGTTCTGAAATTGAGTGCGCCGATGGTTGCACAACTCCGTAAATATACTAAGAATCGCCAAAGTACACACTGCAAATGAGTGAATTGTATAGTAAATGAATGATATCTCAATAAAGCTTTTTAGTTTTTTTAAAGCCCTTTCTTTCCTCAAGGCCCCCTTCTAAAGGAACCCAAAGTAAGGTCATCAGAACCTGGGATTGTGCCTGGCACATAGCAGGTGTTCGATCAATAGAAATACACGTGAATAACTGAATGGGTGGGAAAGAGCTGCAAGCGAAGCCTTGATGACAATCACACAACTTCAAACAGAGCCACAACTCTTCCCCCGGGCTCGTCATCAGCCATCCCCTCGTGTGCCACTGGGAACAAATCGCAAATCTCACAGGCACGTCTGTTTGGGATTATCTCTGCCTGAGAAGGGAACAGAGTGGTGTGGGTATGTGTGTCCATGAAATGGTGAGGGTGGAAAGGGGTGTGTGTGTGTGTGTGTGTGTGTGCAAGTATGTGTGTGAGGGTGTGCCCATGTGTGAGTGTGGACACGTGCGTGAGCGTGTGTTTGCGTGTATGGTGTGTGTGTGTGTGTGGTGATGCAAGGGTCAGTGTGGGAGCTGGCAGGAATCTAAGAAGGGAATCACTGGTCGTTGGGGAGGGAAGGCTCTGAGCAGCAGAGACTACCTCCTGCGAGCTGAGAGCCAGTGAGTGCCTCCCCCCACTCCCCGCGGGTGTCCTCTGGGCCCATGAAGTGGACACTGTCACTTTAGCAGGATGTTCCTACCTGCAAGGGCTTGGCCAGCATTCTCAGTGGCTCATTGCTGGGCGGGACCCCTGTACAGGGGTGGAGGGCTGAGAGGGGAAAGAGGAGCCCAACTCTGAGCAGACTGAGAGAGCAGAGGGAGCCCTCCACACCCGTAATCCAATATTTCAGACCTTTCCTCGTCCATTAACAGTAAGACCAGTTCTTGATCAACTTAGAGCACAATCCCCGTAAGAATGCGCTTCCGATTATCTGTGACTCATCATTCCACTCGACAGAGTCCCCTGCCCCAGCCGCCCAGGGCTCTGCCAAGCTTCGGGGCCTAACATGCAAGGCGCCGCGCCGTGTCTCCTGTGAGGCTGCGTGATGTGTGGGAAACCCACGGGTGACAAGAGTGTGAGCCCTGGGAGGCGCTGGGCAGGTCTCCCCAGTGTGGCGAGGGCACGGGGCCGGGAGTCTGCTGACACTGACATTCCAAGTCCTGTGCGGCACGGGACAGCCTCCACCTCTCGCCACCTTGGCAGCCACTGGGACCACCCCCTCCTTCTTCCCAGCCTCGGCGGTCCCAGGGGTGCCTGACCAGCTGCCCCATCACATTTGGCAGGGCCATGTGGACTCTCCCTCTAGCTGTCCCCGGTCCAGGAGCTCAGTGGCCGAAGACTAAATCCTCTAGGCTGGCTCTGGACTCTACCTCCCTGGGCACCTGCCCTTCCCGCCCCAGCAGATGGCCACAGCACCCTGGGGAGCTGAGAGCAGGAAAAGAAGAAGCATGGCGCCCGGACCAGGTGTGCCCTGACGTTGCCTCCCGTGACCCCGGCATCTTCCGTCAGACCCCTCCCCCAACAGAGAGCCCTGCTCCTGTCCGGACAGGGCTGGCTCTCCGCCCCAGCCCATCCCAGTGCTCCTACTGACCGTTTAGTCAGTTGGCACTCAACAAACATTCTTGGCCTGTCTGCTCTGAGCCAGGCACTGTGCCAGGTCCCGAGGAGACCAAGATGAGGGAGGGAGCCGGAGGGTCCCTGCCCTCAAGGACCTCGGGAGAAGCAGACAGGTAACACAGAACATGTCGTGGTAAGAGCAAGGAAAGTGCTCCTAAAACACTGTATGAGAGCTCGCTGCGCGCAAGCACTGTGCACAATTACTGTGCGCAATTACTGTTTCAGGCACGCCCATATTAAGTCACGAAATCTCACAACAACGCCCTAGCATGGCGATTCCAAGTACAGAAGCTGAGGCTCAGAGAGGTTAGGTAAACTGTCCAAGGTCATCCGCTAGTACAGGGAGTGAGGAGGGATTCAAACCCACGCCATCCACCTCCAGAGTGGAACTTTTATTTATGTATTTATTTAGTTTTTAGAGGGGGAGGGGCAGAGGGAGAAGGAGAGAGAGAATCTTAAGCAGGCTCCATGCCCAGCACGGAGCCCGATGCAGGGCTCGATCCCCCGACCCTGAGATCATGACCTGAACTGAAATCAAGAGTCGGACACTCAACTGACTGAACCACCCAGGCACCCCTAGAGTGTAACTTTTAAAGAACGTTAGATTGCTTCCAGATGAGTACAGGAGAGAGACACACAGGGGCCAGGCCAGCTCAGCTGCCCGAAGGAGTAGGGAGGGACTACTGGATACTGTGAACAACCTTAAACTTGGCTTTAAACACAAGGGTGGAGGGCACCTGGCTGGCTCTGTCAGAGGAAGAGCATGCAACTCTTGACCTCAGGGTCCTGAGTTCAAGCCCCACGTTGGGTGTAGAGATCACTTAAATAAACAAATAAAGGGGACTTTGAGCCTCCCAATATTAAGCCCTTAATGGTCAAAGACTTTTCATGAACTGAAGGGCAGCAACGTGGTCCTTGGTATAGGAGAGCAGGGAGGGGGCAGGGTCATGGTGCCAGGACTTTGCGACCATGAGAGACCACAAGACACCATGTCTTTGGCAGCCAGTACCACTGCATGAGCAGAGGGCAGTCCTGGGACCCCAGCAAGGATTTCCTTCACTCCCATTATACTCTACACTTCCTTGGTCATAATTCACCACACTTGAACTTCACTGTTTCATTGCCTGTCTATCTTGTAATTCTCCAAATTCCCTGGGAGCAGGGGCTATGTGTGTCTTACTCCAGGTCATGCCCCCTGCTCCCAGCACCCTTGCCTCGTATGGAAGACACACAGTAACGTTATTGAATGGATGGGTGGGTGGGTGGATGTTGGGCGACTGAAGGAATTTGAGCCTTATAATCACTCTAGGAAGGTAGAGTAGGTATTATTCTCCCCATCTTATGGGGTTCGGAGTGGAGGCAGGGCAGAACTGCTGGACCATAGTGTTGGTCTGACTCCAGCCCGGGGAACTCCTTTAGGTCACACCAGGGGCAGATCCCCAGTGTTACAAGAATCAGGGGACAGCAGACTTCTTACCACCCCAGGTCCCATTTTCCTTCCTCTTTGCCTCCTCCCTCTGTTGGTTCCTCCAACAGCGCGTCCATAGACCCCAAAATGTTGCAGTCCCTTCCCTTGGCTTGGCTCATCATTGTGTTCTTGATGCCCATTGTAGTGGACCGGACATGAGTCTGGCGGAGGGACACGGATACGAACATGGATCCCTGAGGCCATGGTGACACCAGCAAAATCCTCCTATGAGCCCCTTCACTGCAGTGAAGACCCATGTCCCATACTCTCAGGGAAATCATTTCACTCTTTCATTCATTCACTCGACACGTATTTATTAAGGGCACACGGTGTACCATGCACAGTTCTAGGCACCAGGAACCCAGGCCCGACCTCAAGGGACTCCCAGGCTAGCAGGAGAGACGGACAGGCGGTCACAAGCCAATGGGCAACAAGCACTGGGGTGGGTGTACTGAGGAGTGTAAGAGGAAGTCACCTCTTGGAGGGCCCCAGACACAGAGATGAGAAATAACACAATTTGCAGGGTGTGTGTGCATGTGTGTGTATGGGGTGGGGAGGTGGGCGGCGCGGGGAATTACAGGAAAAGCTAAGCAGCTGAAGCAAATGAGTGAGGCAGGAAGGGGCAGGAGAGGAAGCTGGAGGAGGAGATGGTAACAATCCCAGTTGTCAGAAAAACTCATTTAGTTCTCACAAGTCTATGAAGCAGGTACTCTTAAAATTCTGATTTCGTAGATGAGGAAACGGTAGCACAGAGAGGTTCAGTAACTTGCCCTTGGTCACACAGCCGGCAGGATGTGAACCCAGGAAGTCAGGCTCCAGCATCCGTGCCTCTGATCACACTGCACGGCCTTGGCCAGCGGGAGTCAAACCCTAGGCACCTTTGTGGTCATGCTAAGGAGCCCAAGATGATCCCCCAAGGGATGGGGAGACCCTGCAGATTTAAATGGGACAGAGGGCTGCTCAGCACGGCCCTTTGGGGGATGAGCCTGGAGGCCACGTGGAGGATCGGTTTGGGGGTGAGACAGAGAGAGCCGGTAGGAGGTGAGGAGAGGGAAATGGGTTGGTGGGAGAGGGGCGCTGGGTTGAGATAGGTTGAGAAGGTAAACTTGGCACAATGTGGTGCCTGGCAGGAAGTGAAGAGTCGGAAAAGAGGAGGTGGGGGGGAGGATCTCCTGATTTCTGGCTGGGGCCTGGGGGCTCATGCTCCTCCAGGCAGGAAACAGAACCCAGGAGAAAGGTGGGGAGTGCCAGAGCTCAGGCAGGGACATGTTATCCCTGAAGAGCCTTTAGGACACCCAGGTGGTGATGTCCCACCGTCCCGCTGCTGCCTGCCAGGCCCTACTTCCTCCCACCCCCCCTGCCCTCTCCCCCAGCCAACCGCCATCCCCTGTCCAGCCTTCCAGAGCGCCCCAGAGCCACCAGCTTGTTGGAAAGCCCCTTCCAGGGCCCTGCGGTTCCCAGGGCCCCTCCTTGCCTCCTATGGATGGGGGCACTGCGGACCTTCCCCCTCTTCCTGCCTGCCCTCTGATGGTGGGATGGGACTTTTCCATTCTGGTTTCCCCTGGCAGCTGCAGAACGGTATCTTCCTTTATGGGACCCCACCCCCGATAACTGAACCAGTGCCAAAGTGAGGAAGACCCCGCACCAGGGTGCCCAGGGGAGTGCCCACAGGGCTCCTAGAGGGTAGCTCCCTGGTCTGTGCTGGGAGATGGGGAAGAGCGGAGTCTAGCAGGCTGTGCTTGGAGGAGACCCGAGGCGCACAGCGGGCACCTCTCACTGGGGATCTGGAGACCTAGAGGCTCTCCTAGCCCTTCTGCACACTCGTCATGCGACCTTGGGCAGCACAGTCACTTGCACAGGTCTCTTCTGTACCACTGAGGCTGCATGACATGAGCTCTGGGCCCTACACCTCTGCCCTCACCTCCCTGTGGGGAGCCTCTCCCACCATTAGGAGACGGGGAGCCCAGAGGGCCACACGGTGCTGTTCCAGAGGGAGGCAGGGCACTTGGCAGAAAACTCGGCAATGTGTTTTAGCAACAAGCCGGACAATAGAGCGGCTTAGAGCTGGGAGCTTATGCTGCTATTTCCCCCGTCTGAGTGTTGGGACATGCCAGGGTTGGGTGTCTGCATTTCGGTAAGCCTCTTGCTACAATAGCATTCTCTGCAGCTTCAGTCACTTAGACCACAAGGGTAATCCGCTCAGGAAGAGCCCGGCCCCGCCCGCAGCGCAGCGCAGCGCAGCGCAGCCCAGCCCAGGGGCCGCGTTTGGGGCAGGGAGCCCGCCTGGGGTGCAGCCACTCCTACTTCTCCGCCTCCGTCTCTCCCTTCTCCCGTCGCCCAGTGTGTCACCTCTGGATTCCCTACATGCCCAGCAGCAAGCGCCTGTCAGTGGGAGGGCGGCCAGGTCACTCTCAACTGAAAAGAATCAGACAGTAGGAAGAACTGTCCCAGTGTTGGGGTGGTTGAGTAAGGAGCAATGTGGTCTCTCTTTGTCTAAAGAGTTTTAAAAGCATGAGATGTTGGGGCGCCTGGGTGGCTCAGTTGGTTAAGCAACTGCCTTCGGCTCAGGTCATGATCCTGGAGTCCTGGGATCGAGTCCGGCCTCGGGCTCCCTGCTCGGCAGGGAGTCTGCTTCTCCCTCTGACCCTCCCCCGCCTTGTGCTCTCTCTCTTTCATTCTCTCTCTCAAATAAATAAATAAAATTTAAAAAAAAAAAAGCACGAGATGTTTTCTTGCCTGAGGTACAAGTTAGCTGAGTGGAGGTTTGGCAAGGGAGCAAGGAGATGGCCATTAAGCCTTCAGAACTTTCCGGAAAGGAGTCAAGTGGGGGTTTGGGGTGGGGGCTATATCAAAACTGTGGATGAGGAATAACCCCAGGCATAGCTCTCCAAGACTCAGCTCCTCCCCTTTGCCCCTTGAGGTAATGAACTTGAGTGTGAGTCCTGAGTCCTGGGTGTGAGTTTGACTACAGGAACCTCTCTGGCCCACTGTTTCCTCTTCTGTCACACAATTTTTGGATGGAAAAACATCTCTGACCTGACACCTTCAGCATTTGATACTATTCATTCTCCCTCCATTTTTTAAAAAATATTTTTATTTATTTATTTGACAGAGAGAGAGAGCAAAAGAGGGGACACAAGCAGGGGGAGTGGGAGAGGGAGAAGCAGGCTTCCCGCCGAGCATGGAGCCCGATGTGGGGATCAATCCCAGGACCCTGGGACCATGATCTGAGCTGAAGGCAGACGCTTAACGACTGAGCCACCCTGGCGCCCCCTCTCCCTCCATTTTGAAATATTCTCCCTTGATTACCAAAAAGTGGCATTCTTTAAGTTCTCCTCCTTCTTCTGTGTCAATTAGGGATCTTGCATTTGCAGGAAACAGAAAACTCTATCTTACTGGCTTATACCACAACGGACATTTATTCATTCACCAATGGTTCAGGCAAGGATCGATGGGACAACTCCAGAACGTCACCAAGGGCCAAGTTTCTTTCCATCTCCCACTGTCTTCCTCAGCCTAAGGCTGGCTCCCCTGGGGGGTCCCAGATGGGGGTCAAGTTCTCTTGGTCTGACGTGGCTCTTTGTTCATGTACTGATGGAAAGAGCTTCTTTGTTCCACTGTCCATCAAAGTGCTGTCCTTCTCTGATTGGCCTGACTTAGGACAAGTGTTCCCCCTGGACCACTCATGGTTGCTAGAGGGGCTCTATGTGCTCTGCTCAGGAGCTGCTGAAATGAGGAAGGGGGCTGACTGTTGGGGAGACCCATACACACACCCTGCCCCCGGGCCCTCCCCTTCTCGCCCCTCTCCCTGCCGGGCCTCAGCCTCCCCCCCAACACTGCCCACCTGGCATCCGTACTCCCTCTCACAGCTCCAGAGATCAGGTCCATGTGGCCGATTCCCTCCTACCCATGTCTCGAGCCCTCTCTTCCAGTATCCATGGGGGATACATCCCCAGACCCTCACCAGATGCCTGAAACCACAGAGAGTACCGACCCCTAAGTATGCTGTGTTTTTTCCCGTATGTACATACCTATGATCGAGTTTAACTTACAAATTAGGCACAGTAGGAGATTAACAACAACAATAACAAAATAGGACAATTATAACAGTAGATGGTAATCAAAGTTATGCGAATGGGGTCTCTCTCTCAAGATCTCTTACTGTACTGTACTCACCCTTCCTAGGATGGTGTAAGATGATAAACTGCCTACGTGATGAGCCGAAGCGCGGGAATGACGCAGGCTTTGGGACGTCACGTGAGCAGCTACTGACCTGCTGATGATACTCAGAAGGAGGGTCTTGTACTCCCGGACCCGCGGATAAGGGGGGCTACCGTATATTGAGGTATTCACAGAGCATCTCTACATGATGTCCTCAAATTCATCCTCATATAAGAAGAATTATATTATATAAGAAGAATCTTTTCCCTCCCATTGACCCTTCACTCATATACACCACCTGACTGTCCAGTTGGTCCTAATTTGGGCTGGTCCTTCTCCTGCCCATATCCTGTTAGGCTCGACACCCTGGCAGTTCGTCTGGACCCCGTGCCTTCTCCACTGTGTCCATAGTCACCTTAAGCCTGCACCATAGAAACACCCTCCTCTGCTTCCTTCCTAATGTGCCCCCTCTCCTCATCACTTTCGTCCCAGCCTTCCTGAAACACCGTTGCTTCTCCAGAGCCGTCTCTGTCCTCCCCCGCGCCCACACAACCAAATCCGCCCCCCTTAGCCTGGCATTCAAGGCTCTTCGCCAAGCAGCCTCCTCTAACTTCATGGGCTCCTATTTTGCCCTCCAGTCTGCAGTCTGTTCTAGGCCCCGTCTGGTTCGCTGCAGACCCTGAAAGACCATGAGCCTTTCTGCCTCTTCACCTCCTTTCTGCAGCTTCCCGAAGGCCATCCTCCTGACAGCCTTCCCTGACCACTTGAGTCCAGCAGCCTCTCTGTCACAGTCTGCTGCTGAGCCTCCCGTCTGCATGCGTATGTGTCAGCCTGTCGCCATCTTCCCAACTGCATCCATAGGCCCCGCACAGAACAGGTGCTGCCTCAAATCCCTGGGGAGAGCCTGGTCTCAGCTGAAACGAGCTCACGTGTGTGGAAGCACCTGAAACGTTCCCAAGCCCCACAGAGGAGTGGCCTGCGGTTTGACCAGCAAGAGCAGGACACAGAGAGAAGCTGCAGCAGGTGAAGCCTCTGGGAGAGCGTGGCCATGAAGGACACCCGCTGACCAGGAAAGAGCCCCACCTGGCATTGGAAGACATGCTATGAGCTACAATCCCAGCCACCCCGCTAACAACCGAGGAGAGCTTGGGCAAGTCACTCCACTCTCTGAGCTTCAGTTCCCTCACTGGGATGACATTATCCCATCTGCTCTGCCTGCATCCAGGGGCACTAGAAGATGACATGAGGTGGGAGAAGGAGTGTTTACCCAGCAGTCTGGTCTCAGCCCAGCCTGCCTGAGAAAGAGCAAGAACGAAGCCTGACTTGCCCCCATTAGGAAGCTCTGTGCCAGTCTGGCCCTCAGCAGGCTGTGGGGAGAGCAGGAACTGATCAAAGGCCAGGCTTGTAAACAGCGGGGAGAGCACCTCTCCCCACGCAGGGAAGCTGCAGACCGACTCCATCTGACACCTGCCTGGCAGCCAGCAGGGCCCTCCCGCCCTCTAGTGGGCACAGTTGGGAGGTGCACCCGCTCCTACCCTAACAGCAGCGAGGTCTATGGACTGCAGGATGCCACCGTGCACGGGGAACTGTGCTGTGAGATCTGTCACCTTATAGAATCCTCCACAGTCCTCCAAGGTCTGTGTTATCATCCCCTTCTTACAAAATCCTAGGGTTTAGAGGTTATGGAATTGCGTAAGCCCCGCAGTTCATAATGGTGGAGCCGGGATTTCCAGACTGGAGACTGTGTGGAGGGGTCCAGGTCACTTTAGGATTCCCCTAGGGAGCCAACTAGGAGCTGGCAAGATGCAGGTTCATCATCGGGGAGTTTTGTCACGGGAGAATCAGGGCAGCTGGTTCTGGCAAAGGCCTCCCAAGAGCCCACCTCCTTCTTCAGCTCCTTGGTCCTACCCACCCCTCTCCTGCGGTCTGCAGCCTGAACATGCCACCATCCTTTACCACTGACCCCATCCGCCACCCCCACCCCAGCCCCCACCCAGCGGCCAGGCTGCTTCCCCTCCAACATGGGGGCAGATCCTGTGGCTCAAGGCCCTTTTTCTCTAAGGTTGGGATCCCCAAACTTTTCTACAAAGGGCCAAATAGTAACTATTTGAAGCTTTGTGGCCATACGGTCTGTGCTAGAATTTAAGCTTCCACTGTAGCAGGAAGCAGTCATAGAGAATGCATGAGTGAATGAGCACGCCTGTGTTTCAATAAAACTTTATCTCCAGACATTGGGATTTGAATTTCATTTAATTTGGGGTGTCATGAAATATTCTTCTTTTGAATGTGTTCAACCATTTAAAGATGTAAAAGCTCTGAGGGTTGGCCAGCCCTCCAGCTTACATGATACTCCCTTACCTGTGCATTTTAGAAGGCATTTCCCTTCTCCAAACGCCCAGCAGCGATGTGGTATGCTGCAGAAAGCGCGCCGGCGTTGCTGCCCTCTGAGTGGGGTCTAAATCCTGACTCTGGCACCAGCTGGCATGTGATCCCGATCTTGTCCTTCTCAGGGGCTCTCATTGTGTCCGTGTCCCATGTTTCGTCGTTGGAGAAGCAGTGCGGTGCTGAGACATAAGAACTGAGTTAGGAGCCAGCACACCGGGCATCTGGTCTCGGCTCTGAACTTGAGGGGATTACGGGGTGCTGGGGTGTTAAAGCCATTTGCATGGGGACACACAGACGTGGCTCTCAGAAGAGATGAAGATTTGGGCTGAGAATAGACCTTAAGTGTTCTTCTCACTCTCTCCATTCAAAACCTAACTATGCGAGGCCATGGATGTGTTAGCTGACCTCACTGTGGTCATCATTTTCCAATATATACATATATCACATCGTCATGTGCGTACACCATGAGTTTACACAATATTATATGTCAACTACATCTCAATAAAGATTGGAAAACAAAACCTGGAATAATTATATATATATATATATATTTGAGAGTCAGCAGCATATAGATGGTCACATAGCCCTGGGAGAGGATGACATCCCTGGAGGGAAAGTGGAGGAAAAGAGAAGAATCCTGAGAAACACCCAAAAGGCCAGTCTTAACACTTTGTGGCCAGGAGGTGGCAGCAGAGGCCATTAAGGAGCCTTCTGAGGGGCAGGAAAGGGGCTGAGGAGAGAGAGGTAGGCCCCCCAAACTTTAGATTTGCCTACTGGTTGGGCAAGTGCCTGGCACCCAGGTATGAGAGGGGAGGGGAGCTGAATCAGAAGGTATATGTATATGTTAGGTGGAAAGTATAGGTAGCTTTTTCTAACTAAAAACTCACTGGATGGGATCAAGCAGGTATTATATTGCCGGCAGCACGGACCTAGGAACCCAAAGGGCAGCTCTCATTTGGAGAGGGCTGGGGGAGCACAAGTTACCCACTCCCAAGCTGCCTAGGTTCAAATCCCAACTCTGGTGTTGACTAGCTGTGTGATCTTGGGCAAGTTACTTAACTTCTCTGTTTCAGCTTCAGCTATAAAGTAGGAACAATGATAGTATCTATATCCATAGGGCTATGTAAGTATTGGATGAATTGATACGTGAAAAGCTCTTAGGATTGTGCTTGGCACACAGAAAACGCTTAAACATGAGCAATTAATGTCATTAACTTTAAGATTCCACTCCGAATGGGAACCCCGAGGTCCCTTACTTCCCACAAAGATGCCCCACAGTCTGAGCCTGGGGACTCAGAAAGGTAGCAGCCATGTCAGATCAGCCCCTGGGAGAAGGGTCCCGGCAGAAGCATAGCACGGCCTACCAGCTCAGGAGCCTCAGATTTCAGAGGCCATGTGCATAGGAGGGTCAGAGGGCACATCCCTCCAGACCCTGATCACTTTTTACCTGACCTGGGTCCCCACCAGTCTCCAGGAGGAATTAGAGCTAGACTAGAACAGAGGGGTGTGTGTGTGTGTGTGTGTGTGTGTGTAAGGATGGGGTGGGGGGGAAGACAGTGTCTCCACCCCTCACTTCCCCTGCTACCCCACTTTGTCTCTGATCCTGAAGTCAAATGATGAGGTAGAAAGACCCCTGGGCTGGGCATTAGTGACCCCGGTTCCAATCCTGGCTCTGTGACTTTGGGTGACTTACCTTCCCTCTCTGATCTGTTTCTCAAAGGTCCCTCCTGGCTCTGGTATCTCATGGTCTTTGGGTGGGCTTATGCTTCCTCTCCCCCAGTCCTGCAGCTGTATCCCAGACTCCTCTTCCACTGTCTTCTCCCTCAACCTCCCCCACCCGGCGTCCTTGCAAAAGGCTCCTAGGTCTAGAGATGGGATAAGTCTTTTTTTGAGAGCGAATAAGGGGAGACAGACAGCCTCCCAGCCAATCAGTTTCCATCTCCCCCGCAGCAATACTTCTCAGGGGTCAGTAGGTGGGTCCAGACTGCCAATTTAGCAAACACTGGGCCCCTGGGAACAGGAGTCTAAAAACAGCTAAGGGGCAGACGCTGTGGAGGTCAGATGCCTCAGAGCAGTCGGCATCCAAGGGAGGGAGGGCTGGCTCCAGCTCAGGCTCCACCTCGGGTTCCAGTCCTGGGACATCAGTGTCTGGAGTGCCTACCCTGGCCGTTATTTCCCGACCTTATTGCTCAGAGCTCTGTCTCTGCCCCAGCCTGCAGCCCTCACCCCGGTGGGTACCGAGGGGGCCACAACCCTGCCGAGCCCCAGGGAGGAAGTGAGTTGGGGGAGGTAGAGGCTCCCAACCTGGTGGGGTATTTGATACCTCACGGGGCTGGTGGCATCAGGGAGAGTACCCTTGCTTGCCAGAAGTCAGGACTCAAGGTTCTCCCCCAAAAGGCCCTCTCGTCAGAACACGCAAGAGTGTGACCTTCTCCCTCCACCACGGAGGTGCTAGAAGTGGAAGGAGAGTGGTTCTGTCTGGCTCTCTCTGATTTCTTGTGAGCCAGAGCAAGATGGGGAGAGAAGAGGCCAAGAAACTTCGCAGGCATGGAAAATCATGAAATGATGCAGCAGTAGCTTGCTCCAGTTTGGGGCACAGTCAGTCCCTTCTGGATTCAGGGAACTGAACCCAAACCGATAAGCAGGATTGGCTAGATAATTTGCCAAAGCAAAACGAAAATGCAGGGTCCCTTGTTCAAAAAGCATGAAGAATTTCTTTTTTTTATTTATTTTAAAGATTTTATTTATTTATTTGAGAGAGAGAGAGAGAGAGAAACAGCATGAGAGGGGAGAAGGTCAGAGGGAGAAGCAGGCTCCCCGCTGAGCCGGGAGCCCGATGCGGGACTCGATCCCGGGACTCCGGGATCATGACCTGAGCCGCAGGCAGTCGCTTAACCAACTGAGCCACCCAGGCGCCCCAGCATGAAGAATTTCAAGGCAACAACATGAGGCACCTGAGTGGCTCAGTCAGTTAAGCGTCTGCCTTCAGCTCACGTCATGATCTTGGGGTCCTGGGATCAAGCCTTATGTCTGGCTCTCTGATCAGTGGGGAACCTACTTCTCCCTCTGCCTTCTGCTCCCCCTGCTTGTGCTCTTTTGCTCTTGTCAAATAAAATCTTTAAAGAAGAAAAAAGAAGAAGAGGAAGAGGAAGAGGAAGAAGAAGAAGAAGAAGAAGAAGAGGAAGA